CCCGCTCTCCTTGAGTCAGTCTCGCAGATGGTTCAGCCCGTCCCCCCTCCCCTCCCTGCCAGGCGGTGGTAGCGCCCTGCCTAAGCGCTCCGGAAGTGCCGGGGCTCGCGCTTGGGGTTGGACTCGTTTCTCCGCTACTGCTGTCGGGTGAGGGCCGGGGGGTCTTGGCGGGGGCCGCGCGCTGCTCTTTGTCGGGCGGAGGCGCTGAGGGGGTTGCCTGGGACGAGGGAAATGCGCGCGGGGCGGGTGGAGAGGGAACAAGGGGGATACGGAGCAGAGCCCAGTGGGCGCGTCCCGGGAGCCATGGGCGCTGCCCGGGGAGACGGCCCCGAGATGGGAAGGGAGAGGGCCCCGGGGGGATCCTGCCTGCGCAAGTGCTTGGCTGGGACCGGGAGGGGTGGGCCAGGCCTAGTCGGCGCTTGTGGGGAACACGGTCCGGTGTCCACAGAGCAGTGGTCCCCCCTCCCTCATTGATAGAGGTATTGGCACTGGGGATGCGGCAAACCAAATTGGCGGGACGTGTTAAATGAAGAGCAGGGACAGGAGTGAAGGCCGGAGGTTTGGAAGGAATGTACTGAGGGGGGGCGCCAAGCACCAGACAGTGCCTGCTGTCCCTCAGATGTGTCCAAGGAGCCAGGGGACGCTGCCCAGTGAAACTCTGCTCCAAGTCGTGAACAGACAAGGGGCAGGAAAGCTGTCCTGCAGTCTCCACAGGTCCTCCCAGCCAAAGCCTTCCTCTGGTTGGACGTGTCACAAATGTAGGGGAGGAGGTTGACCAGGAGGTGCTGGGACTAAGAGATTGGCAGGAAATAGCCTTTTCCGGTGCCCACTTGGGCCCAGTGTTGTTGTCGTCCTCCTCTTCCTGTGTCTTCCCTTCCCACTGGCCTCTCTGTTCACTCGACGTGTCACAGGGAGCTGAGTTTTTCTACACAAATAGTCTAAATCTTAGGTTGCCTTTGAGCTCTTGTGATACATGTTGGGCGTTAACTCTTCAGCATAAGGAAATGAATAAATTCAGAGACTGATAACAGAGAGGGAGAGGAGGAGGGAGGCTTGAAATGCCCCACATCCACCTTCCAAATGTACAGGTCTTATAGCATCTGCCTGGGGCAAGTCAGGTGTTTTGACAGTCACATTGAATGTTTTTTTCCTTTGAGGCTCAGTGCTGCAGTGGAACTTAGTGCCTGGGTGGGTGATTCCTTACTTGTCAGGCTGAAATATGTCACATTTTTATATTGAAGGGAAAAACCTAGTGATATTCGGAGTAGGAGGCAGGGTAATTTATAGTGAAAAAATTTGAAATGAAGAACAAATGCATCCCTTTTGTTGTTGCACAGGTTTCAGTCTAGTAGGGCATCCTGGATCAGGGGTATTCAGTCTCTGGCCTGTGGGCCAAATGTGGCCAATGGAGCCATAGGTATCCAGCCCACAGGGCTCTCTGCAGATTGGGAAATTTGGTGGCAGGGAAGCAGCAGCAATAGCTATGGCCAGCTTCTCTCATTGCCAGATTCCCAAGCCCTGCACAACAGGTTAGGGCCAGGTCATGCCCTCTACTCCTTCCCTCCCCTTCCCCTTCCTGTGGGGGCTGGGTTGGGGCTGGGCTTTGCCTCCTCTCCCTTCCCCTCACTGTGGGACTGGGTTGGGGCTGGGCCCTGCTCCCTCCCCTTCCCGTTCCTGTGGGACTGGGTTGGGGCTGGGCCTTGCCCCCACTTGCCCAGGTAACTTATTTTTAGTACAATCCACGACTCGGAGCCTGTCCTCATTGATGCTTCATTTCTACGGAGCAATTCTGGGGGGCCATGTTGGAGCCAGGATGCCCCCTGCCCCCCTCAGCATGACTGTCCTGCACTGGATTGGGACCATCAGCCAGATCTGGCCTGCTGATGGCCTGGGTGCTGCCCATCTGGGCTGCCACCAGAAAAGGTTGAGCACTGCTGTTCTGGATCATTAGTCATGCTAAAGGGCAGCTGCAGCCAAATATAATTCAGATTTTGGCATTCATTCTCTAGCATGTGGATAGCCATGCTGTCAGGCAGAAGAGCTAAATAACTGGAAAGCAGGTGGGAATATTTATGCAAATACCTAACACCAAAAATACGGAGGAATCATAATGGAATAAACTAGTCAAAAGATGTCTTATCTTTAGTAGGTTAGACCTATATATGCCCAGGTAACTTATTTTTAGTACAATCCATGAGTCAGAGCCTGTCCTCATTGATGCTTCATTTCTATGGAGGAATTCTCAAACAGAGTTGATAAGCCTGCAACCATATTTGAGTTACTCTGTTCAGCATCCAAACATCCTCTTTACACTTGTAAAATAAAGCAAACTGAGATATTCAGCATAAGAGCAAAAACTCAAAAAGCAGCAACTAAGGATAAAAACTTAGGTTCTACTATGGTGCAACTTATACATGGGGTTGGGAATGTATGTTAAGGTGCCTGTTGAAAACAGGAGATACTGGATATCTTTTAGATTGAATCCATCCTTAATTATTGGTTCTTGCTAGAAAAGTAAAAAAAAAAGATGTATGATCCTCCCAATATCCCACTGAAACCAGTTTGAATGAGTAAGTCTGGATGATCAAGGGCCTGAATGAGCTATCCTGAAAGGTAATCCCAAAGGTTTGATGATTAAGAGTAATCAATGAAAAGAAAAAATGTCACTCAATTTTAGTAGGCTTCCCAATAGTATGTTGATGCATATGTTAAAATACAACATTTTTTCCTTGGCCATATGTGGAGGTCCACATTGTTTTTATTTTGATAGGCTTTCCAGTGATGTAAGTGCCCAGGCCCAAAAACTAAACTGCTTTCCACTGCATATCACAGTTCATCAAATGGCAATAACTTTTGGTTAGTGCATCCTGACTCTCATCAATGTTTTCAACATGAAAAACTTCAGCCATCCTATTACCACTATATAAGTTACTTAGTCATTATGATTGACTTCTATTTCCTCATAGAAGTAGATATATAAGAAGGCTAACTGTGTCTTACAGAGATTGTTAGCTGTGTCCCTTGTAAGATGCAAGATTTGTGAGGGGAGCTAATATTTTACTGGACTAGTTTTATTGTTGAGAGGCTAGCTAAGCTTTCAGGCACAAAATGCCCTTCCCTCAACTCTGGGAAAGAAACAGATACAGCTTAAGCTAAGTACATAATCATTCTATTATTTTATTTTAACCCAATTATGGCAATGAAAGTATCTTTCTGTAGTTAGTTATGATGTCCATTGCTGTAGCTTTTTGCTTGTTCAATAACAGAATTAAATCCTGGTAAGGAAGTTATGCTGTTGTTGTTGTAGCCCAATGACTTCACTTATCCATATTTCCCCACATCAGTTTTCAAAACTTATGAAGAAGCCTACCTTAATAAACATGCTGTTGTCTGAAAGCCTGCAATTTCTCATAAGCAAGGTCTTTATAGTAAACATTTCCCAGTTTCCAAAATAAAGAATGCCTAAACCATGCAGATCTGCACTCTGTTACCATGCATAGTAACAAAGACCCAGTCTGGTTTAGTTTTTATACAAATTCTGAATATGGTTTCACATTAATACATATTCTTTACTCTGGAAATAGCAAAATGAAAAGAAGAATCTGGGAGTTGAACAGGGATGGCTTTTATAAGACAGAGTTGTTTTTTTGTTTTTTTATTGTTTCCAAGGTGGGTACTGTCATTTTGTAATATGATTGTCCAGGACCTAATACACTGCGTCAGGGCCTTTTTCATGTTGCTGCTGCGTAAACAGTTGATATCCCATACCTAGAATTCCTTTATTAGTCTTGAAGTACTTTTACTTTTGTTGGGCAAAGCTGTTACAAAACATACTTCAGCTAGTAATTTGTTAGGGCTTTGTTTTGAACAAACAGATAATCACAAATGACATGTTTGGAAACTTGAGTCAGCATTTAGGTTGGTACTTAAAATTTTCTGATGACTGAAACAACAAGGTAGATGTTATTTTATCCTTAAATAGCATTGCTTGCCTCTTCACATTAAATGAGGATATGGGAGCTAGTGGACAAATCAGTGTGGGTTGTTGAGGATTGTTGATTGCTATTACTCTTACTGTAATCAGAAGTATGGTTTTTCACATTAAAATCATTCTTGTTCTGACAACAGGTTTATATTTCTGTTCTGTGCAGTGTAGTATGTTCCAGCTCCTCCACAGAAACCCAAACTTGCCTTATTTGAGCTGTTTTCATATAGTTATATTATTATTTTAACAAGTTGAATGCGTAAATCTATCAGACTTTGATTTCAATGATGTTATGTTATGTTATGTTATGTTATGTTATGTGAGGGGCATCCGCTGATCGGGGCTGCTCAGCACCACAACGCAGCAGGAGGGAAGGGCAAGGGGGGAGCAGCCGCATTTGGACCCATGTCCTTGTGAACGAAGGGGGCAAAGGAAGCTGTTATTTTCAGTGATTAAAAAAATGAATAAAATAAAATAAAAGGCCAAAATATAAGTACTTAGAATTTATTTAATGAAAATTATTGATGCACTGGTAGGCTTCCAAATTGCTTTAAAATTGTAACTATATCAATAAAACATTGTGTTCAGCTGATATCCATATAGTGGTGTTTCATTTTATTCATGGAGAAATGCAGATTTTGGAGTTTTTTAATCAGAACATTTTTGGGGTTTTAAACAGAAGACTAGGATCCCTAATGATAACCTGTCTTAGAATTTCAGAACGAACTTTCCAGTTGTAAGAATTTCTTGTATTGGCTTGGTAACATAAGTATACTGAGTTCAGGTCTTTCTCTTCTCTCGAAAGCAACCTAATACCTCATTGTGAGCTGACTGACTTCAACAACAAAACTGATTTCCTGACACTTTAATTGGAAAGTGTTTTAGTCTGAGCGCTTGTAGGGAGATTAGTTGTGGAAGTGGAATGAAGAGACTTCATTGTTGCTGAGTGACGTTGCATTTCATTTGTTATTTTTAGTTCATGGTATAATGGGTTGTTTTTGTGTGTCAGAAGAATGTTGTATATGGAACGTAGGTTTTAAAAGTGTTGAATTAATCAGTGGATGAAATCAGTAATGCTATTTGTAGATGTACAGGAAAGAATATAACCAGGCAGTCTCCCCCTTTTACCATTTAGAGGCTTGGTAAAGCACACTGTGAAACATGGAAGGTAAAATGTGTTTTGTTATGTTGGGAAAGATTGGTGATTTCTTTGAGCTAACTGGCTGATTATGTATGTGCATTCATTCTGATCCTTTTGCCTAAGGTAATTACTTAGCTGTATTAATTAAAGCAAATTAATGTTGGTTCCCTTCTAAAATGGACAAAGATTACAGTCGTCTTTTTAATTGTTATTTATATGGATAGACATAACTTCTCAAGGGAGCCTTGTGAATCAGACTGCTTAAGGAATCACTAAGACTGCTTTTTGTGACTCATTAAGTAGTTTTTTTTAGAAATGTAGTTTCAGATTAGATACTTTTAAAAAGTTAACATCCCAATATATGATCAAATGCTGATGTTTAACAGAATCTGTGTTGCTAGTAGATACAAGGCTGTGAATAATGATCTTCTATTTTCAGTTACTTTAAAATGAAGGCACGTGGTCTCAAGCTCCTAATTTAAGTACCAAACAAATTTGTGGCATGTGTGCTAGAATTGTTTAGTTATATTCCAGAGTTGCGACACACTAAATTAGCGCTCTTGTGGATCACTAACTCTCAATGTGGTAAATGAGGAACTTCAGATCCTTACATCTCTTCAAATTGTTTTACTTCCAGGTGATGTAACAGATAAAATGACACCCCGACCTGCTCATTTAACAACAGTTTTATGCCAGTTTCACTGTTTTTTGTATTTTACCTTTGCTATATAGGAAACTTACTCTAAAAATACAGAAATACCAGGGGTTTGGGCTTATGGTATTTGAAACCAGTTTTTTAATGCCGCCCCCCCCATTATTCCTTTAGTTAAGGGATTACTTCATTAGCAGGAGAGAATAAATCAATACTTGTTATGACTGTGGAGAAGAAACTGTAGTACCCACGTATCCTTCTTGGGATGCTGTCCTGCATATATCCAAGCAGGGTGAGCAGAGTCAAATACAGTCCTTTGTTTCACCCCTGCTAGACATGGGTGAAGTTCTGAAATACAGACTCAGGTATTGTGGGTGTCTCTTTTAAAAACAAACAAACATTGATCACTTGGTTTCTCTTAAATATGCTAACTTCAGTTCCATATACTTTAGTCACTGGGGTTTTTTTCTTCCGTAGAAACAACAGCCAAGATGTCTAGCAAAAGGGCAAAGACGAAGACCACCAAAAAGCGCCCTCAGCGCGCAACCTCCAATGTATTTGCAATGTTTGATCAGTCACAGATTCAGGAATTCAAAGAGGCATTTAACATGATTGATCAGAACAGAGATGGCTTCATTGACAAGGAAGATTTGCATGACATGCTTGCTTCTCTTGGTAATGTCCTGTTTTTCTCTGTTTAGCTGCTCAATATATCACTCTGAATTGACCATTATAAAATGTTGCTTGTATTATAATAAAATTATAATTTTATAAATCATTATGAAATACTTGCTTGTATTGCAAACATTATTAATGCCAAATGCATGACCTTTGAAATGTTAAAAGCCTTTTGACAGTTGACCATATAAATTGACAGTGTCAGAGTGTACGTATAAAAAAAAATATGAATGTTTTCTTTGTAGGGAAGAATCCAACTGATGAATACCTAGATGCCATGATGAACGAGGCTCCAGGCCCCATAAATTTCACTATGTTCCTTACGATGTTTGGAGAAAAGTTAAATGGCACAGATCCAGAAGATGTCATCAGAAATGCTTTTGCTTGTTTTGATGAAGAAGCGACAGGTGAGCAGGTGGAATGACTTCTGCAACTAAGAATAGATGTATAGCTAATATATCATTTTTGATGCAGCTGAAATCATTAAGTCATTTTAAACAATTTATGCCATTGTTTAAAATCTAAGCTGGCTCGTTGGATAAGATCTTTATAAACAATAGTATAAATCAATGGCATTCATCCGCCGGCCTATGGAACCACGTTGTCTGACCAATGGGGCTCCGTGTGGGTTTGGAAAGATTGGGGGTGGGGGAGTAGTGGCATCTTTAGTTGCCGCTCCCCAGCTGCCAAGTTTCCAGATCCATGGGGAGCCCTGCAGGCTGGATAATATCTATGGCCCAGCCCCAGTGTGCACGGTCACTCCATGACTAAATCCAAGTGTGCAGCTGGATCAGGCTAGTGCACAGCCAGGTCATGGGGCTAGGTTGTGGGGCTGGGAGGTTGGGCACTACTGTCACAAATTGTGATCTAAAGCAGTGGGAAGTCATCTTTCTGGCAGGTTTGCTACAAGTTAACCCTGCACTGTCCCAGAGTGCCACTCCCCCTTCGCCCCCCACTTCCCTTGCCCAATCTGTTGCTCTACTTCTGCTCCCTACTCTCTGCATCCTGTTTGATCTCCTCTGCTTACTGCCCTAATTGTTGCTGTGCTGCCTATCTGCTCCCTGAACTGGTGTGTGCCCCATACAGAGGCAGCCCTTGCCACAGACTGGCCACCCTTGACGTAAAGCATAGGGTACTCATTTCAAACTGATCTGTAAGACCATGCCCATGAAACACTTGCCATGTGGTCTGTTTTTAAAAGCTGCAAAAACTGTTTTTTCACCTAAGAAGATTATAGAGAGAGAGAGAGATCTTCTTAGGTGAAAAAACAGCTTTTGTGTAAACAGTCTTAGATATAGTTCATGTTTTATGACTCTGGGAACTCCTGGCTTAGGCTTTCATTGAATTGCTTTAAAAGTCTTAATGCAGATATACTGATACTTGTATTTTATGTATATGTTGGCCTTGCCAGTTAAGCTCCATTCAGTCTGAGCTGGATTGGGCATTCATAGTTTTAATTGGGAAGTGCTTAATACAAGCAAATTCTTGTATCGGGTTAAACAGAATTCTTGTTTAGTTTATCCATTTGGTGAGTGGGCTAGTTCTTAAGGTCTGGCCTTTTGACAGGATGCACCACATAAAGTAGATTAGACCGGGGTGTCAAAGATACTGTCCATGAGCTGAATCTGGTACATGGAACCATTTCACCTGGCCCAGAGGGTGCCTAGAAGGGCCAGGAATTTGGGGGCAGGACTTGCTGCCAAATTCCCGCGTGCGGAGTTAGGGATGTGTGTTGACTTTGTTAACCCCTGCGCCACTGGCCCAGGCGGCCAGTTGAGTTTGACACTCCTGGATTAGACCATTCACACATCCCAAAATGACTGTTACCTGAACTATGACGGGAGTAGTTGCTTGACTCTGAAGCCTGAAACTTGACTACTAACTTTGCTTGTGTAACTACAATATAGTTTTTAGTAATTAAAATAATCTGGCCTTTTATTAAATGCAGCTAAAGCATTAGCTCTAGCCTTCTGAAAGCTTATATTGATAGCTTTGTATCTTTTTTTTCTCTCCATGGAGTAAATGTGTAAATAGGCCTGTAGATGTCATCTTATGGGACATATGCTTTGCTTGCCTTTTTGTGTTGGTGCATTAAGTTCACATTTAGAATTTTCTGTTAGAAGATGCACTATAGAACTTTTTCTGCTTCATCCTGAATCCTTGTATATTGTATTCTAGGGTTTATTCAAGAAGATTATCTGAGAGAGTTGCTGACAACAATGGGAGACAGGTTTACAGATGAAGAAGTTGATGAGCTGTACAGAGAGGCACCAATTGATAAAAAGGGCAATTTCAATTACATTGAATTCACACGCATCCTTAAACATGGAGCAAAAGACAAAGATGATTGAACAAAATTCCAGGCACATGCAAATATCTCTAGTTTCCACTTGTGTTTATTTTTGAGGGTTTTTTCCTGGTAGAACCTGTTGCATGCATTTAGCGCTACAGCTTTTGCCTATCTCCGTATATTTATCTATTTCAGGCCATTCCAGCAAATTTGCACCTGTGTAATCAGACTGGAAATGAGGGGCCTTTGTCCCCTATAATGAAAAGGATTGGGGACAAAGTTTGAATTTGAAGGCCCAGGGGGAAAAAAAATCTCAGTGTTTCTGGTTTAGCTGGATTTTTACATTTTTGTAATAAAAATGCCATTTTGAAATAAAGATTACTATATAAATAAAATACCTCAAACTTTTGTGAAGGGTGACAATTTTATTATTACTAAATAGGCTTTTACAAATGAAGAACTGTTACCTAATTTTTAATTTCTGGTAAGATCCAGTGAGTTTACCACTTCATAGCATTTTGTAAAACAAAGCTTGTTTTGTTTCTTTGTGCTCTGAAGGTGTGGTTTTGAAATTATGTTGCCTAAGTACAAGAAAGTAATGGTTTTAGTCCCTGAAAGGAAATCGGGCTGGCATAAATGGTATTCAGATGGAATGGCTGGAGAAGATGACTGTAATGGTGTAATCTGTTATTTTCCTCATAATTATTGAGGATCTTGGGAATATTTTTTTTGTATGCAGAATACTAATTTGGTGAACAGGAATATAGAAGGCAAGACTAACGTGCTTTTGTAGCCTACGTACAAGCTAGGCATATATTAATATCTATGCTCCATTGCAACTAGTACCCTCAAAAAGAACTTTGTTCCAGACTGAAATTTCTATGCTGTCATTACCTAAGGCTATGTTTAAAAAAATTACAAATATTGCTGCTATGCAGTCCTGTTGGCTTCCTTTGCAGCTGGAGCATTCCAATATTCTTTGGGGCAAGCAGTGCAATTAGTTTTAAGCAGGAGCTTTCAGAGTTTGGGAATGGGATTCCTTGTGCTTACCTGAAAGAACTGGGACTTGGATATGATGTTAAACAAAAGTTAAAGAACATGGGATTTCCATTTTTTTTCTAGATTCTTATTCTGATGGGTTTTCAGTAAAAGTAGAAGGGATCTTTTAAAGATTAAAATTGCACTATGAAATGCTGTTTTTATTCACAGCTACTTTATATATATATATGTAAAGTTCATTTCTAATCTAACTCACGTTTTTAGCATAGCAATTCCTAAAGTTTTTTTATTTTACCCTGGGGCAGTCTTTCATTCTCTCATTCAATGTTTTAATTAAAACCAGTCCTTGTGGTAACTCTTTCCTTTTAAATCCTTTTGCCTTTGCTCTCGTAGGTTTGTTCCCCCTGCCCTCCATGGTAGTGTTCTGCAAAAAAAGGAGGTACTGGGATTGCATATTCAGCAAATGGCCTTTCAAAAAAATGTGTTATTGCTGAAATCTTACAGATGTTCTAAGATGATGTGCTTAGCAACAATGCTAGAGTGCTGTGGTAGCTATTGGGAGGATGAAGTCTAAAACATAATGCTGTACTTAAGAACTTGGCCTATCCAGGTTGGGGATGGGAGGGGGACCAATAACTTAGCTTTTTAAGAAACAACATAAGCTATTGAAAAATAGCTATATAATATTGAAGCTGTAACAACAGATACAAAATAAACCACTTATGCTCTATGTTCAACTTGTCCCATAAGTTTTTGTGTAAGTCCATATATGATGTCACATGTCATGAAACACAGCCCATTTGGCTTTGTTTATGCATGCCAGTAGCTACCTGCTTTATCTCAGCCACTTACTAATGGATGTATCATAGAGCAATGACTTTTGATGGTCCCTGTATGCTGTCAGCACTCAAATCTCTTGCACCTTAGTTCTTGGGATGTTTCAATTTAAAGTGTCAGGCACAGTCCTTTTGGATTTCTTTTGTTCAGCACTCCTTGATTTGGAAACTTCTACCTTAAGTAGAACAAACATTTGTTCTGTGGTGCACTGGAAGAGCATAGGATCCAATGAAGCTTAGTACTTCTCCCCATTTCTTAGAATACACATTTTTGGGTTTTGCAGTGTTCTTAAGGGAGAAAAGTATGGCATCACAGCATGGGTTTTGTATAAGCCACACTTTGATAAACTTTTTTCTACATTTCTATGGAGCCTGTTGAAATATGAAGATGCTGCTGTGTGTATCAACTTTATGCATGGTGTAGCAAAGAAAAAATGAAACAATCTTTTAATGCACGAGCTATAGAGAAGAAAATCTCAACTGGAAGATTTTAATAGTGAAGAAGAGCTTTCGGAGATGTCCTAGTATTGCATGATGTTCTATGAAGTTCACTTTTGCTTGGTACCTCTACTGCAGTTGACTTCTGCATGGGCACAATACCATAACAACATAAGGTTATGAACAGGAGCATCTAAGAGACCATATAAGAGCATCAGATCAGTTTTTTTAGCTCTGGCCAGGAATGTATGAACAGCTGAGTCTGCATGCCTGAGCCCATAGCAATGTCATCAGTAATCCACTTCCAAAAATAAAGATAACTTTGGTCACTAAAGAAGAGTTTGAGATACTGATGCTTTTGATCTAGTATTGTGGAGTAGGAAACTTGAATTGTAATACTATGTCATCATCACGTTGTCTTCCCATGGGGCTCGTGTAACAGCCTACATGTTCTGTATCAAGCACTGTTTTTGCTACAAATTTACCGGTATTAGGGGTTTTGTAGACATTAATTTTAGAGTCTTTAAGTGTCTTGATAAAGCAAGACTCCATTAAGTTACATGACTTCATTTTTTTCCCTCTACAAATTATATTGTCAACTTAACAAAATGACTCTCTTCTTGCAATAAAATTTAATGATTTCCACTATATCTGTGAACATGCTTGACCTTTTCTTTATTTCTTCTTGTGGATCCCTGCCCTGTCACTGCAAGTTTCAACTTCTACAACAGGCGAGGCAGAGATCTACAGGCAATATGCTCTTGGGAGTGAATCAGAGTTGCTTAATAAAGCATACAAACATCTTTGCACACCAGTCATTCATACCAGAGCAGATCTATCCTATGCTCTGAATGAACTTTGGGCCTTGTGTAACATAAATAAAAGGAATAATGTAATTTAAATGTGTGTCATACTATCCATGCAAAACAGGAAGAGGGATTGTAGTTAAATAGGCAATGTTTTCATACCTATTGTTTATGGAGTACTGAATATGTATGAATTCTGATTCAAGAGTAGGCTATGATCCTACAAATAACATGCTTAAGTTTACAACATGTAAGCATCTACATTAGCATCTAAGCATTTGCCAGATTGGAGCCTAGATCTCTTATAATGAAAAGTATGACTGCCCTTATCTATAGGTACTTATTTATCTCTCTACTTTTGTCTGTTATTTTGAAAGTCATGCCGTGAAAAGAGTCTTAACAGCATAAAACATTTGCAACAAAAAATACATGGTAATGTATTGGTAATGTAGAAAGGCAGACAGATGCAGTTGCTCAATTAGCATGTTTCTCTAGAATCACCGATGACATAATTAAGTCTAGGGAAGTGGCTGGACCACACACACTGCTTGTGCTCCGGTCCCATTTGGGCCAGACTCCGTAGACACTCAGGGTGCTCAGAATGGAGCATGAGCCAAAATGGGTGGCATGGCACATCATGCCCAACCCCAAAGGGTTGGTCACGGCATTCCATACCCTTCAACCTTTGAGCCCCGGAGCCCCACCTCTGGTCACATGGGTCTCAGGAGCCCCTCAGCTACGCTTGCACTGGGAAAGTTAAAAAACCAAGGTTGCCTGATCCCCCTACCCACACAAAGGCTGGTGCAGGCAACCCTGAACTCACACCAATCATCCTCCCAGTTGCAGTGTCCCCAGTGGGCTGAGCAGCCAGAATAAATCGTAGATCAGAATCAGGGGCTGAGCACATGGGCTCAGGAGCTCATCTTTCATCAGGGTTAAAAAAAACCCTCGGTGGCCCAGGGACAGGTACTTCTGCCCATACAGGGGATTGGATTGCATTCTTTTAATGCACAAGCTATAGAGAAGAAAATCTCAACTGGAAGATTTTAATAGTGAAGAAGAGCTTTCGGAGATGTCCTAGTATTGCATGATGTTCTATGAAGTTCACTTTTGCTTGGTACCTCTACTGCAGTTGACTTCTGCATAGGCACAATACCAAAACAACATAAGGTTATGAACAGGAGCATCCAAGGCAGCCTTGAACTCACACCCATCATCCTTCCAGCTGCACTGTCCAGCCCCAGAGGGGCTGAGCAGCCTTCTCTCAGTCTGTATGCGGTATGGCCTGAAAGATCCCGGTAGCCCAGAAATTAAAAATAAAATAAAATGCTGCTATCTTGTTGGCCCAGCAGCCTTGAAAGGAAAGGGGCTGGGCCTCAGGTGCTGCTCAGTGCCATGGGGACATTTTGGCTAGACTCATCCATATAAACATGCCCAGTGGTCAAATGAAGCACAGGGCTGAATTGAGGGCTCAGTATGCCATGTCCACCCCCGCAAAGTGGTTTGGGCATGGCATGCCAAGCCCTGAAACTGCGCACTGGAGCCCTGCTACTGGTTAGGTGGGCTCAGGAGCCCATCTGACCTAGGCTTGCATCAGGAGAAACGAAAAGCTCCCAGTTGTCCAAGAGTAGGGGTCTCTACACAGCTAGAAGGGTTGGTGCGTAGCCTTCAATTTGTACCGTTCCACCACTAACACCTAGCCTCAGAGCCACTCAGGAGAACAGTGGAGAAGCTATTTCTCTCTGAGTCTGTGTATGATATATTGGCCCCGCGACTGGAACCAGGAATTTAAAAAAATTGGACCACACCCAAGAAGTTCCTCTGAACAAACAGAGGGGACCACAGACAACCCTGAACTTGCACCCTTCATCTGCCAGGCACAATGCCCATCCCCAGGGCCATCAAACATCCAAGCTAAGCACTGTTTTCTCTCAGGCTCCTCATGTGACATTCCAAATTGATTCTAGAATATCATTAATGCCACAGTTTAAAATGAGACATCTAGTAGTTGCCATACTATACAATGATGCATTTTTTTATTTATTTTTACACAACCAGGCACTCATAGATTGAACAAGGGAGGTGGGAGGAGACTGGTGGGAGGAAGGGGGCACATTTAAAAATTAGTTTAAATATTTTTTGTTGAAAATCACTGGAAAACTGGGAAGAGGGGTGAGGACAATTCTGACTAAAATCTGGGGTTAGATACATTTTCATGGTAGTGTAAAAGTGATTTAGTAATGATGGTCCAGAAATTATGTGAGAAACAAGGATTTTGTAGGGTGATATCTTTTATTTGACCAACTATGTAGTTGGGATAGCATTAGAGAAGCTTCTGAATGCAAGACGTTCTTCACTGAATTGTTATTGAATTCTCATTGCTGCAAAATTTTGTTGTTTTTTAAGCAGGGAAAACATGTTTAGAAAAAAAAAAATCCTATATATTCTTCAGTTTGAACTGTTTACTACTTTCTTGGTTCCTTATGGCTAGGGGCAGACATTACACTTAAACTGGTTTAAGTGATCAGAAACTGGTTTAAACCTGTAACAGAACAGACATTCAGTGCACATAAACCAGTTTCTAATTGGCCAAAACCAATTTGATATAAACCTGGTTGAATGTAGTATCAGACTTACCTAATGTTGCTCAAACCAGTTTATGCAATGTCTGTCCCAGACCCCTTGCTGGTTTAAGATAAACCAGACACCCCCAGCATCCTGGCATGCTCTCTGCCCTGGGGGGACTCTCTGCTCCACAGTAGGGCTGTGAGAAACAGCACCATTTAATTTTGACTTCCGTTTCACCGTTTTGATGGGACAGTGTTTCATTTCGAGTTTTGTTTTGTTTCAAAACCGCTGTTCTGTTTTGTTTCATTGAAACTGTTTCGCTGTTTCAATGCTGTCTTGATGTTTCACTCATAGGCTATAATGAGGAAGCACGAACTATGTGGGTGTGGGGGGTGTCAAGACCTCCACACACTCCCCCCATGGTGTGCAGCCCCCACTGACTGGCAGCAGCAGCGAGCAGGGACATCAGGGTGCTCGTGCCCAGTACAGGCATGGCTCCAGCCAGTATTGCATGGAGGAGGGAGTGGAGCCTGCCTTATCCCCTAGGCTCTGCTCCCCGCACCTGTAGCTCCAACCCTGGCAGCGGGAGAAGCTCTGCACTGGGGCCTGCTGTCTTCCCTGCTCCCAGCTGCAGTCCTGGCACTCTGTTGGGAGTGAAGGGAGCCCCACCCCCTGCTTCCCCACAGAGTGCAGTGTGGGGCTTCCCTGTGTGAGTGCGGGCCCCTCTACCAGACCCGAGGCAGTGGGGGAGAGGGAGGAGGGGGAAGAGTTCCCTTCTGGGGCCAGGCAACCCTGTGTGCCCAGATTGCTCCCAGCTTTCATGGAGCTGCTGGGGCAGGCCTGCTGGGGCCTGGCCAGACCCCCTCCTCAGCTCAGCTTCCCTGTGGAAGGGAGGGTTGCCCTAGTGCCCCTGGGCTTCTAGTTTGAGCCACTGCAGGCATATGCCACACATCTATCCACTTGTAAACCGGTTCACTCTCTGCAGGATAAACTAACCTGCAAAGACTGAATCAATTCAGGCTCAGGCTTTTTGAATGTCTATCCCTAACCTATCTGAGAAACTTTAAATGTTCTCTCTCCTGTCAACCAACTCTGCAGTTCCCATTTTTGACCATTTAAATTTTGTGTCATGCATATTGCTATGATTAGTATCTCCATTCTGCTGTAAATTTACAAGTGTAAAAAGTTACACTTCAGTTGGCATACTGCTTCAAATCATTACACTTGCTATAAATAAGACTTTTGTGGAGAAAAATGGAAATACATATTTCATTTCTAATAAAAATACAGAACTTTTCATGTAAGCAGAGTGAACAACTGAAAAGTATGCTATAAAAAACAGGAGAATTCCTCCAAATCTGGACACACACACATGGGCAAGAAGGCATAAGTAGGAGGTGGCTAAAAGAAGAAAAGGAGTCATCAACAGAAAAACTAGAGCAAAGTGAGAGGAGTGAACATAGGAAGATGTGCTTAGCATGAAATAATTTCCTTGTTAATGGTCTGGGGTGGGGGTGGGGGGGCAGAATGTGAAAGTATTTCTGTTCTGAGGGAAATATTGTTGAGCATATTGTTGGGAGGAAATACTGTTTAAATGCATGCTTAGTTATTTGGAATTTCAGTTCATTTTCTCTAATCCACACAGGAGCACTGTTTTGCTTTACTAAATCTATCACTTAAGTGGTACTATTTCTTAAAGCTAAAATTGCAGCTCCTGAAGCCTGAGAAAGGGGAGTGAAAATTCCCTGGGACTGTAGTAAAAACGGATGTGAGGCTGTGTGGGTAGAACTAATATGGGATAGAGGAGAAAATATGACAGAAACTGGGGAAACAGAAATCATTTAGGGTCAAAATTAATGCAGGTCTGGGAAACATTAATAATGTGATGTTTGAAGCAGATGTGGGTTTCAGAGCTTCTGCAGCCAGGACCAAAGTTAACTCGTCTCAGTAAATTTGGGAGCATTTATGATACTGTCAAGTAAACACACATGGAGGCAAACAAGAGGAGTTAAATATCAATGGCTAATTTAAAAAAATCTCTAGATTTTGAACTAGTTCCAAAATTGTAGGTCTGACTCAGACCTTTAACTATTTAGGGTAAAAAACCCCCCAAAACTGGGATAATCCCCAGGCTCAAATTACAAGAAGAGGTATAGAAATAAATAAATCACAGAACAGGTATATTTCACTTTGAATTAATTTTCAAGTTCTTTATGGCATAAGAAAAAATTGCCAAACTTTAAGTGGCAAGAAGGAAAATCAGATTTTTTTATTTT